GTGAATCATCTGCATGTAGCTTTGTCTTGTATACCCATTTACATCCAACCACATTCATCGAGGGATGACGGGGAACAAGTTCCCATGTTTTGTTGATTTTAAGAACATCCAACTCCTCAAGCATAGCGGCTATCTAACTAGGGTATTTTAAGGTTGAATGGACAATGCTTAGCTCGGGATGGATAGATGATATTGCTATATTGGCATACCTGGGATTTGGCTTTGAGATCCTGGTCTTTGAATGTGTAACCATGGAATGAACTGAGGATGTGGAAGCTTCATATTGAGACTGAACTAAAGCTTCACTCTTCGTTGGTTGTGGCACATGATTAGACAGAGTAGCAGATGAAACATTTGAATCTGGTTCTATCTCGGCAAACAGTTGTACATGTTTGCTTGCGTAGTCAAGATTTGTTGGTGAAAAACCATTTTGACCAACTTTTGGACTAGGTCGGGGCATAGTCCAATGATCATTAGAAGCTTTTATTTGTGATGGACTTAAAGTTGAATTCCATTACAATGGCTCCCTCTCAGTTGTAGCAATAACTTGAGATGAAGAGGCAAAAGGAAAATAGTGCTCATAAAAAAACAACATGTTGAGATATATAAACATGACCAGTAGATTGATGAAGACAACGATATCCTTTATGCTTTTCACTATATCCCAAAAATACGCACGGCAAAGAGTGTTTGTCAAATTTGTTCATCGTGTAGTTGCGTAAATATCGATAACAACGAGAGCCAAACATTCGGAGTAATGATTAATCATGGTCATTCTCGAATAAGACTAAGTATGGATTGTAGTTGCCCAGAGCAGTGGAAGGAAGCCGATTTATCAAATAATTTGTTGTTGTAAACGCTTCCACCCAATAATTGAGTGGCATAGAAGCCTCAAATAATGTAGCAAGCCTGAGTTCAACAATGTGTTGATGTTTCCTCTCAGCAACACCGTTTTGTTCCGGTGTACCTGGATAAGAGAGTTGTTGTTGTATGCCGCATTCATGAAGATGCTTGAGAAAATTATTGCTCGTGAATTCACCTCCTCCACCAGATTGAAACACTTTAATTTTCCTATCAAGCCGATTTTCAACTAATTTTTGATAAGATAGGAAAATCATAAAGAAATTTGACTTCACTTCAATGGATAACCAACAGTATTGGGAGAAATCATCTATAAATACCACATGATATTGAACTGTTTGCATAGAAGGAATTGGGCTCGATCCCCAAATATCACAATTTATTTTCTCCGGTGGATGGGAGCATCGAGAATCGGATAAAGAAAATGGCTATCTTGAATTTTTACTAGTCTGGCAACTTGTACATAAAGTATGAGTGGATTTATTTACTGGAATTAAATCATCATATTGCAAAGCTGTAAAATATGACTATTGGATGGCATAATCGGCGATGCCATGTAAGTTCATCCGCAACCTTGTTTCTCTATGAAAAGAATGCCATAAAATGCGGGTCCTTATTGGTATATAATCCTTGATGATTATTTCCTGTTAATAATACCTAGTGTGTTCGGGAGTCCTTGATAGAAAATCCAGAGGCATCAAACTTAGAATAGCAAGGATATTTCTTGTCAATTGAGAGATTAATAATAGATTTTTCTTAATTTGTGGAATGACTAGAACAATATTAAGTGAAAACTGACCAGTCTCATTGCCAAATTGACTAGTCCCAACATGAGTAATTGGTAGTGCTGCACCTTTCCCAACTATCACATTATCATGGCCATGGTACAGAACTATGTTTATAAGATTACCTAGATTATCCGTCATATGAGTATTAGCACAAGTGTCCATATGTCAGTCTTCATCTCGTGAGTTTGAGATATGAAGAGCAGCCAGGCCATGGGGGTATATTAACGCTTTGATAACTATTGTCGAAACGATACTAGCAATTCAATGCATCCCTCTTCTTACATATCTGACATATGAGATATACCACTCCTAAGTTTGAATTTGACAGTAGACCAACGGTTTTGGTTTGCTGAGTGGTATAATAGTTTCCTGAAAAGTGCCAACCATTATGGTTTGTTTGAGAAAAGCCACGACCCCTAGAATTAAACGTGAGTACTCTACTCCTTCATCTAGGGTTGTTTTTGTAGCCACCGTTACGTCGCCACGAGATAAACGCCATTGAACTGTTCGGGAGCACAGTTGAAGTGCCTTTGTTTCATAACTCATAACTTTGAAGTTGTGCAACCACTTCCGCATGAGATAGAAGAGGAGGCCTTAACATAGTCGTTTTAAACGACTCATAGCTATCATCAGATCTTTCAAGTAATCTGAAAAATTCATTAGCATTCGATTCAGGTTTATCAATGGAATGCAATTAATTGCAAATAAATTTAAAGTTGCGAACTTATTTTCTCTCCTGATGTGTTGAAGTTGTCCAAGGAGGTCAAGTACATGAGTCACCCAGCTTTCCTTGAAATGATCGTTGGGAACTTTCCATACTTCTGCTGCTATTTGAAGTCTAATGGCATGTCCGAGAATCTCTTCTGAGAGTGTGCCCATGATTCAAAACTTTACGAGGCGATCACTACACACCCATGACGTATATTCAAGATTATTAACTTCGGTTGCATTTTCTTATGTCCGTGTCTGCAGTGGTGCAACTATCTCTCTGATAAGGAAACTAAGTAGGTCTTGACTTGCAATCAATGATAATACCCGTGTTTCCCAAAGTAAAAAGTTGTTTTTGTTGAGCTTCAATGGAACAAAATTTGCCACAATGATGTTTGAAGGAAATGGAAATCTCGGGTTCAAAGGAGGCAACATGATTGTATCGATTTTGTTTTTTAACAAGAAAAGATTAGTGTGCCCTTGCATGGCTTTGATACCATAAAGAAAATAAAGAATTGAGTCGATGAAGTGTACTGTTTTCATTGATATGTTGTATAGTAAAAATAAAAATATCATCACCTATAATTATAGTGAAAGTTAAAGAGAAAAATATAAGAATTTGATCTACATGGAAATTGAATAAAAACACAAATCATAAAAAATCTCCAAATGATCAACTTACGGAAAATGTGTTATCTTCACGTTGATTTATAGAAGATTTTGCACTATAACCATACAGATATTTATGGAACCAAACGGTGAAAGTACAAGTCGGCCTTTTTCCTGGGCGTGCGGTTGGCAATCTATCACTTGCCTTCGTGTTTTATGGAGATTCGGGTTTTCATTCGTGCACCGAGTTTCAGATCATCGTTTCTGCAACTCGATAATTAGGCGGGTTTGAGGCTTGGGATTGAATTCAAAACCCGAGCCGAGTTGCTTGGGATGAGTATAAGATCGATAGTGTCTCCTGTTGGGAAAGGGCCGAGAAGGGGTGTGCTCTGAATTTGGTCAAAGTCGCTGTTTATGATCTTCTGACTTGGGCCTGCACAGTCCCTTGCTCCGCCTAGCGGGGCTTTCATCCTCCAATTGCTGTTGATCTGGCCTATGCGTACCAACAGGCGACAGGTGCTAATGTTGAAAATCGTATCTTTCTTGAGGATGCTATTGTGAATTGGTGATGCTGAAGACAAACACCGAGCCAAGAAAATGACATATCTCCTCGAGCTCTGCCATAAGAACTTGAAACCCGTGTCGTCGCAAAGGTAAGGTAAGGCTGTGGTTCTTGCTCGATACCTGTTCAAACCTACCGTCCACATTAAGTACAAGAATGTCGGGTATAGCGATCATCTCGACGAGACTCAGAAGCTATCGAAAATGAAGATGGACAGAGTTAAGACAATCGCATTATTGTAAAAGAGAACACGGAAGCCGATCAGAACTTTGCAATTGAATCGAGAGCGAGAGAAAAATGACAGGGAAATAAAACAAGCAATAGTGCTGGATACAAGAGATTTACATTGGTTGGTCCAAGTGTCGGAACCTATATCTATAGGGAAAAGCCGACCGCCAGTAATCCACTCATGATTCGGAGAATTACACCATTAGTCTTCAAGAGGGAGTTTTCTTTTCTTTCTTCACAAAAAGGAAATAATGACGAACTTGGATTACTTCCTTTAATAAATGCCACAGTGCCGAAAATCGTCCGACAATCTACATCCTCCAATCCTGATTGTTTGAAACTAAGAATAGTGAGAAAGGACTGAACAGAAGAACAGAGGAAGGAACGTGTAAATAATCTTTCTGTGTTTTGTTTTTTTTCTGTCGTGCCTTTGTACAATTACAGAGGCTCTATTTATAGACTTTCACAAGAAGACCAATGTCTACACTTAAGGGGGTTTGAAAGGAAACGTAATTCACTGATTGGGAATTGATGTAGTGATTTGTTGATGCTTGATTTGTGGGGATTTGATTCGATCAATTTGTTTCTTTCTTTGGTGAAGACTATGTTGTGGGTTTCCTTCTTTGCTTGATTCTTCCAATCTTCCTTCTTTGGTGTTACCATTGTCGGTGGAACCAGAATGTTGTGATTGCTTGATTGTTGCAGATTTCTTAAATTTCGGTGATTGATTGATTCCCTTAACACCGATGGGACCGCTTTTGTTGAATTCGGTACATAATTTAATGCACACCTCCCCTCCATCTCATCCATCGGAGCTTCCCTACTTCGTCTTCGATCTTCTTTCCACCTCCTGGATCGGGATATTACTCTACCCAGGTGATCTCGTGTACCCCGTTCAAGATGAGAAATTGGCTTGATGGCTGGCCTCCTATGATTCCTCCAACACAATGAACGAGAGCAGCGTCAAACTATTCGTCGGGCGTCGTCGGCAAATGGCATTTTATTTTTTGTAATCTAGGGCGTTATTAAAGAAGTCGAACAAGAACTCCGTGGCATTTATTAATGATATAGTTTGGAGATATGTTTGAATCACGCTGTCGTGGTGAAAACTATCAACAGCATCGTTTATTCCTTCAGCAAATGAGATTCATGCGAGGAAAACAAGGTTCTTTTTCCTATATAAACCCAAAGACTGTATTCATTCAGCCACTGTAGCGCACAAAACAGCTCTGTCTCTCTCTCTCTCTCTCTCTCTCTCGCCACCTTCCAAAACAAACAACAATGGACGACCTCCCGAAATGCGAAACGAATTATGTCCCGCTCACACCTCTCACATTCTTGAAGAGAGCCGCTTCCGTGTACGCCGACCGGACTTCTGTTGTTCACGAATCCAGCCGCTTCACATGGCGCCAAACCCACGAGCGCTGCCTACGCCTCGCCTCGTCGCTCCGTTCTCTCAATGTTGTCAAGAACGATGTGGTACGTTTTATGCTCCCAGTTTCTCTTTGGTTTCATCTAACTTTGCTCTGAGTTCATTCGGGTTCAATGAAATCATATTCTTGATAGGCGGGAAAATGTCTGAAGTGGACAGATTCATTTTGGGACTCAATTTTGTCTTTCAGCTATAGACTTGCTTTGCTTTGGCTGTACATGATTATAGAGAACCTTATCCAGATAAAGTTATCATATGAAATGCATATATATAACAATCTATCAGGCGGATGAAAATTTTGTTACAGGTAGTCTTTATGGTAATATCAAACACATGATCATTCTGTTAATAATAAACTAAATATATGCATGTAAGCGATTCTTCTTAATCATCAAAAGCTTACTTGTAGTAATGTTATCGTTTTCTTCCACTATTCGTCTAAATATTGGTACAAATCAAAATTATATTCATTAGCGTTTATACCTCTTTGTGCTCGCAGGTATCTATCCTAGCTCCAAACATTCCGGCCATGTATGAGATGCACTTTGCCGTGCCGATGGCTGGCGCGGTTCTCAACACCATAAATACCCGTCTAAACGCCAACAACATCGCTACCATCCTCCGCCACTCTGGAGCCAAGGTCTTCTTCATCGATTGCAAGCACATGCCGGTGGCTCGCGAGGCGCTCACAATGCTCTCAGCCACCGGTTACTACTTACCCTCAGTCATCGACATTGACGACATTAACTCGCCGACCGGTGTTCGAATTGGCGATTTGGAATATGAGGATCTCATTCGGAAGGGTGACCTGGCCTATGTCCCCGAGGAGCTTCGAGATGAGTGGGACCCCATCGCGCTCAATTACACTTCTGGGACGACATCGGAGCCGAAAGGAGTGGTGTACAGCCACCGAGGAGCCTACCTCAGCGCCCTCGGCTTGATCCTCGGGTGGGAAATGCGAAGCGAGCCGGTGTATCTGTGGACCCTGCCGATGTACCACTGTAACGGATGGACCCTCACGTGGGGCATCGCCGCCCGTGGCGGGACCAATGTGTGCCTACGCAATGTTACTGCGCTTGACATTTACCGGAACATCGTTGCTCACAGGGTCACCCACAGTGCTGCGCTCCAATCATCTTCAACATCCTCCTTGAGGCCAAACCCCACGAACGCCGGGAAATTGTTGCCCCCATAGAGATTCTCACAGGCGGTGCTCCGCCGCCACCGGCCCTAATCCTAAAGATGGAGTCTCTCGGCTTCCACACCACGCATGCATACGGGCTAACCGAAGCCACCGGGCCAGCCCTGGTCTGCGAGTGGCAGGCCAACTGGAACCACCTGCCGCCATTGAAGCAGGCAGAGCTCAAGGTGCGCCAGGGAATCAGCGTATTATCACTCGCTGAAGTCGACGTCAAGGACTTGGACACAATGAGGACTGTTCCTCATGACGGCAAATCCATGGGAGAGATTGTTTTGCGTGGGAGCAGCATCATGAAAGGCTATTACAAGGACCCGGAAGCAACAGCAAAGGCTTTCCAAAATGGGTGGTTCCTCACCGGAGACGTTGGAGTCGTCCACCACGACGGTTACTTGGAGGTAAAGGACCGGTCGAAGGACGTGATTATTTCCGGTGGGGAAAACATCAGCAGTGTCGAGCTAGAGAACGTGCTCTATCGGCACCCTAGGGTCTTGGAGGCGGCGGTGGTGGCAATGCCACATCCGCGGTGGGGGGAGAGTCCATGCGCGTTCATCAGCATTAAGAAGAACTCCAAAGGTGAAACTCACGACGTGAAAGAAGCGGAGATCCTATCTTTTTGCAGGAAGAATCTTCCAAGTTTCATGGTTCCAAAGAAGGTGGAGTTCATGCCGGAGTTGCCCAAGACTTCCACAGGCAAAATCCAGAAGTTTCAGTTGAGGGCCTTGGCGAAGACAATCGTCGTCTCGGAGGATGTTCCCACCACCTCACGTGCATTGTCTCGTCTTTGAAATCAGATAGAAGTTGTCATGATGCGTTTTTCTTTTCTTTTTCCCGCCAATAATTGCTTTATGTTTTGAGCTTCGGATTCATTGTTAGTCTTTTCCAAACAATAATGCTAGAGAGACGAAGAGTGGTTTATTGCAATAGACCTCTCGCAGGATTATGTAAAATCGCCAGAAAGGCTAAGAAACTTCGACTCAAAAAACGATACAGCAGATGGCTCACTTTTTAAATACTTATCTAAGTTTGCCGCATCGTTATGTAAATCAGTTTTATGAACTTTTATCCCTGACACTACTCTTATTTTAAAAACTCAGGTTCATGTTAAGCTGGAGTACTCGAGGACTCATCTCTATTTGATGAATTCTGGAGACCTAGGAAGAACCCTCTTGATCAAAGCCTGTTGAACTTTCCTAATTATTGCACAATGTCCGGCGCAAACCATTCAAAGCTAGCCACCGCCAGACAGCGGTGCATAGTACGCAATACTCGCGAAGCCATTTAATCTGATCATTGTGGTCCAGAGCGAAATTAAACGCCGAAAGGATGTCGAGAATAATTAGGTTAGGGGACAGAGCCAGTTCATCCGTGTATTCTCGTACTGCGTGGGCCATGTTTTCTTTTGTCTTATATATATGTTGTACTGTCAAGTATGTTTGGCTTGATCATACCGGGAAACTGATCGTGACATGTAAACTTATCTGTTCATATCTTTTCTTGTTTTTGAATGGATTCGGTCTGTCCGGGTTCTGAAGCTCTTCTCCATGGCATCAGATACCTTCTAGTTCTAGCCCAAAGGAACGACGCCAAGTCAGGAAGATAATCGGAATTGTTGAATGGGACGATGTGGCCCCAAATATTAGAAAACATGAGACAGTTAGAACTGAGACCAGGAAAAGATACTGTATCTGCTCTATAGACAAGGGCCGCCAGGGGGAAGAGAGTGAGAGATGGGTGTGCTGCTAATGAGAAGTTAGGTTGCAGAAGACAAGTTATTGTTTAGTTTATTGATCATAGACCATGCAATATTTTTTGCATGATGGAAAGTCGTCGCACCGAATAGCATGGAAATCTTGTGTGCCATAGATTCATTAAATTGAATTAGTTAGGTGAGGTCAATCAGATTTACTTTTCTAGAAGAAAACGGAGAAAACAACGAAAAAAACATAAATGGAAGATTGTGTTATATCTTTGTAAAGGCAGATTTTATCTTTTGGAAGCTGTTAAATTATGTCTTGAGTTTGAGCTATCGAACAAAACCAGATCTCAAATTAATTACGTGGAGCACCTAGCTGATCTTGTGAGATTTTAGTTGCACATGGGTTTCGTTGCTTTTTCATATAGTGTTCACTCCTTGCGCATGGCGTTTCATTTCTGACCGGCTGCCGCAGGAGAGATCTATTCTTCAACTGCAAATCACTCGAGAAATATGTTGTTTTGAGTCGAAGACAAATGAGATGGTGTCTCTGTGACTTTCTTGAGCTGTGCGAAGGAGACTTTCCATGCCACAAATATTAAGTGAAGGTGATCCACGCGCAGCAGCAACATTTCTTTAAGGCATGATGGTGATTCATTTGACGTGGGAGAAGACATGAAAGGCACGGTCAAGAAAGATCAACAAAAACAAAATAAAGAGAGTACATTTTTATATTTTGTTAGTTCGGTCGTACGAGAGAGAGTTCCAAACGCTCATATTGAGCGTTTGTGTGAGGCTAAATATTGTGGGTTTGGGTGAAATCTAGAGTTGGAAAACACTCGAGGGCGTGAATCAATTGAAACTCCGTAATTCTCCGATCATTCATTAAATTATTTGCTGGCTCTCCCATTGACGTAGGTGCCAACATTCGAACCGAATCACATAAATCTCCCGTGCCCTTTATTGCTCATCACTTTATTTTCTCTGATAATTTCGTGTCCCGGTATAATTTCGACAACACAAACAATCAACCTCACGATAAATCGACAACACATAGCTATCAATTCGGTAACTTGGTCGAATTATAAAAATTTAACTTTCTAGTTTAAATTCACCATTTCCACTTTGTTTTATCCTATCGAATCCTATGGAAGTTGATTAATCCCTACCTCGGCATGGAAAGACTTATCAACTCAAATTAAATGAACACAACGATTTATCGCGCAATCATCGTAGCTTTTTCACAATTACCATCAAAGCTCAAACCGAAATTAACATTCCACCAAACAACCAAGTCAAAAGTACTAAGTAGATCATTCTAGCTTAGTCCCCAAAGTTTTCACATACATTGAAAAATGACCTGAACAAATCAAAGCTTTAGTTACCTTCAAAGCAAAATAATCAAGAAACATAAATTAACAACTCTCAACCTTGTAAGCAGCAAAACTAGTTTGATAAGATGAAGATGAAATACAATAACTCACCTTGTATATACTCGAAAAGATGAAATTAGAAGCTTCAAGAAAACATAAGAGTGAAATTCTTGTTTTCAATCGGAAGATTGGACAGTGAGCATCGAGAGAGAGATGTTGAGGACTTGAAGCATTTGGGAATGAAAGTATATGTCCAAGGGAAATGTATTTAGAGGCTTTCATGAGATACAAAACGATAAGAACAACTAACCATGGGTTAAAAGTAACGATAAAATTGGGTTAAAAACATGTGGTGAAAAATAGAAGTGATGTGGTCAAATTAAAATGCTACAAATGGCTTAAGCTTTTGGTTTCAAAGTAGATATTTTGATAATTTGTTAAGATATCAAGTAAATCAATATATAAATAAGGAAATCGGTGTCCAATTTAAACATTGATAAGTCAGTATAATATTTTAAACCCACTAAAACGTTTAGTAAAAATTACCGGATGCTAGAAATGACTCAACTCAGTAAATTTTCAACCTACCACTCATCGGATACGTAAACTCGAAGTGTATTAGTCTCTGTTAACAACCAATGTGGCATTACATTCCTCCACGCCATTCTAGATAATCCGCAATATAAATATTCATTAATTAACCCTAATGAAATCACTTTCTGAAAATTACAGGCTTGGAAATACAATTCAAGCCTTCCGCTGCTACCACATTAATAATTCAACTATAATTTTCACCTGTGACATTTATCGCATACATTTACTACTACAATAAATTATTGTAATTGGGTGCTGGAAAACACTGAAAGTGTTTAAGTAACTTAAGTGTGGTTGTAATATCTGTTGTATCGCTTTATCTATAATAAAATTCTTTACTGTTCTCCCCATGGACATAAGTTACACCAAACAAATCATGTGAATCTGGTGTCCGATTTATTTCCTTATTTGTCTATGTTGCTGTTTGATTTCTTGCTTTCACAACAATTTGTATGAGAGCTAGGCTTGGCCGAGTTGAGAGGAAGCGATGGTTATAGAAAAAGGAAAAGTGAGAATCGACGGATTTGATAGGAAGGATTTTGGTTTTTGGAAAATGCAAATTGAAGATTATTTCTACTAGAGGAGTTTGCACTTATCCCTGTGTGGGAAAAAAGCCAGAGTTGATGAAGCATGCTGAATGGGAATTGCCGAATAGACAAGTGTTGGGTGTTATTCGGCTAACGTTAGCTCATAACGTCTCGTTTAACATCATGAAAAGGAAGACCACTATGGGTTTGATGAAGACCTTGTCGGACATGTAAGAAAAGCCCTCTGTAATCAACAATGTCTACTTGATGCGACATCTGTTCAACTCAAAAATAGGCAAACGTGTGTCACTTGTTGATCATATCAATGAATTCAATGTAATTGTTAATTAATTGAGCTTAGTTCAAATTAACTTTGCAGATGAGGTATTTGCTTTGGTTCTAATTATCCCCATTGCTTGATAGTTAGAATATTATTGTTAGTAATTCCTCTGTTGCTGTAGCTGCTGAGTATGATAAGGTGCAAGTTTGATCTCCTGACAGATTGGATGCAATGGTGGTTTTGCTTTACCTATGGTAGAGGAGGTTGAGTCGGAAAATCCTTATGGAGCAATTGAAGGTGCAGGTGGAGTTAGTATTCTAATGAGGTCTATGGTTATAATGAAGTTCAAGCGTGGCTTGGACTTGGAAAATATCTGTGAGTCCTTGATGGGTTGTGGAAGAATAGCATCGAAGTTCAGCTTCTTACAAAGCAATTGTGACTTAGTTCAAACGTCGAATCCATGTAGAGATTGTTGAAAATGTCTCGAGTTTGAGCCAATAGGGAAAAGTTTCCTAATTTGAATAGGTTTCCTAGTTAGAATTGGTTTCCTATTTGAGTGGTTATCAAATTTGAGTAGGTTTTCTTTTTTGTTTCCAACTCTTATTTATATATAAAAGGTGTAACTTCTTGTGAAAAGTATTTGAGATGCGACTTTTTTGTGAATTACACCTGAGAGCTTTTAGTGTAAAAGCCAACAAAATCTTCTTCGTAAGATTTGTGCATTCCTCTGTAAGATCGAAATATTATTTCGTGAGGAATTGTTGGGCTAAATACTGTGAGGTTATTGGTTGTAATTGGAGGCTGGGAAATACTGAGAGTATTTGAGTAATTTGAGTATGGTTATAATCTATGTTATATCATTTGATCTATAATAGAATTCTCTACTGCTCTCCTGTCATAGGTTACACCGACTGGATCACATAGATCCGGTGTTCGATCTATTTTCTTGTTCTATCTATTTTACTATTCGATCGCTTGTTTCTACAACAATTTTGATACGTAAGTCTGAAGGGCCAGTTTGGATGCAGATTTTATCCAAATTGAAGGCCGTTAACCTCTCTGGTTCCTCTCCCAAAGTTTGCAGCAGATTATCAGAGGTTGGTCCCTCTATTGGAGTTCTCCAAAGGCTTGACACGTACTCGATTTGGGTGATGGCATGAAACTCAAAAGTCCTCCAGAAATCTCTCAAAGTTGTAAAACTCTGTGGCTGCTCAAGCTTTGGTAGATTGGAATTCTTAGAGGAGCTTGATATTAGTGAAACTGCTATAACCCAACTGCTTTCGACCTTGACTTTCTTAATGAAACTACAGATATTATCTTCTCATGCACTACAGATCATGATGCACTGAACTATAACAATCAGGTGCTTGGATGTCTCTTGTTGTAGGACTTAGCGCCTAAACTTTTCTTATTCGTGAGCTTAGTTGCTTCTAGCATTTGGAAAGAACTTTGATGTTGCTCTAGTGACTCGATCTGACATGGTGACTTCAAGGCTATATTTGTTGGACTTTAATTGGATATCATTTCTGAACAAACAGTTCATCTTATGGCAACGGGTTTCTTGAGCAAAGCACAGACTATGCTGCTTCTTATGGTTGTATATTGCTGGATGCGATTGATCCTCGGCCATTATGTATAATTTCAGACTGAATATGGAGATCTGCCAAGGACTATGTTTAGGATTAGGATCCCTTTAAGTCGTCTGAAATATTGCCAATGATCTCTGAATGGTGATTGTGTCTTGATTTAAAGGGATAAAATCTGATTCCACTAATCGAGAGGTGCTCTATATGTTTGAGATACATTGTTTGAGCATTTGCAGAAAGACTGTCATTGCATCATATGTCAAGTCAACGGTTCATGTTCTGGTATTCTTCTTTCGATTATTCTCTGTTGGAAAGAATATAGTTTTCAAGTATGTGGTGCTTTAGGAATTCTCTATTTATCATTCAAAGTAGAATAAAGAGTTTAGACTTGCCAATTACATTGTTTTCACCGGAAAGGATCAAGGAAACAGTTATTCAAAGAAAATAAATGAAAGTCTCCAAGGAAGAGAAGCCAGATGTGGTATCCTAAGTAAATATTGAGCCGATAATATCGATAATATCCCCCAAGCTGTCAAGTACTCCAGTCCCGGCCTCGGCGATTGTTTCCTTCACTGAATCGCAGTTGGTGTTGAGGCCGGGGAATTCGCTCACACCAGCCTCCAGAGCTTGGTGTAGGTGCTCACCAACTATGTCTGTTAGTCCATCTAATTGTTGAGCTATTGCCTCCCTCTCCTTGCATCCTTCTTTTATTGCTCCAAATAACAACCCAGTCGCAGCACCTTGCAGCACTGATAGTTGGAGTTCCTCCTAATCATCACCAACGAGAATGAAAATATTCATGAGTTATAACCCATCTAACCGATCTCATTTTTTTCTTACCAGACCTCGAGAGGGGCTAAGCTTGTTATTATGGCACCGGGTATCCCCTTGTTTAGTCTATCCCTTATTCCATAAAATTATGTACGTACACGAGATCATTTGACTTTGCATGCTGCTGATAAGTTCACTGCCTAGTAACCTGGTTATTGGTAAGCAATATGGCGATCGTTTCTGGAATTAGTTTATCTGTAGATGATAGAGCCACACGAGCTCTTACACTAGAACTCTGTATAGGCCTATTCTACCATTTTAAGTCGTGAACAAAGTCAATCGCAATGCAAGAAACATGCGGATTCAACATTATGTCCCACTCTTTCTAAAGATATCATTGACTAGATGTATTAGGATGAATGTAGGCAATTCTTACTCCCTCGCACCAGATGAACCCCTAGGTAAACCCGACAGCAAAACAAGATATTTTTCGTTGTAATTCTTCTTAGAGAGAATAACACTGAGTTTGCCGACTGAAACTAAAGAAGGAAAAGTAAAAGAAAACAGGAGGGTTTGCCCAGTTCAACTGTCGGAATCTCCTCCTATTCGGCAAGTCGTAATTGTCTACGAAAACTTTGTGTTGCGGGTGGTTGAAGGCCTTGTTGTGGTATCAAGTGGGGCAGACGTTGAAAGTCGGGTTGTTTGGCGACTTGCAGTTGTCGAAGCAGGGAAGGCAGGTATAGTACACACTCCTCAGGACGTCGCCGCAGTGAGAGCAGTCGCCTCTCGTGTCCATCAGATAGTACAGCATGCGTACGTCGTCCTGGTCAAGATGGCCCTTCCCGCCCCTGTCCGGCTGGCAAAACAGGGCCTTGGAAGTGCAGCGCTGCGACCTCTCCTCAACCAGGGTCACAAAAGTTTGGTAATCCACCTGGATCGCTTCCATTTAACTATACACTAGAATCAATACGAGCTACGCCGTATGTTTTCGTAAGTGAATCTGTGCAGTTTTCCTTTCTTTCTTTTTTTTAACATAATGGGTATTTTTTTATAAAAAAATTCACGCTTTTACAATTTTAGCCTTGACAAGAACTTTTATCAGAAGAATAAATTAAACTAGATAGCAAACAGGCATTATTTCCTTTAAAAGAAAAGAGATGGTAAATTTGGAAAGGCACAAACCTCGTATTTAGTTTAAATTATACATATACGTAACAATCTGTTCATGCTCTTCGTATGTGATTGACTTGTTTGGCCTGAGATCATGTTTATTCAAATTTAACGTGGCTTTTTCTCTTTCTACTGAGCTGCTTAGTCGGTACAGAACTCCTAGACAGACTTTGCGATTGCAATATAAATCTCATGGACCGCTTGCGATTGCACATTTGATTCCGAAACGCTAAGGCTGATTTGTGATGACTTCCTGACCGAAGCAAAAGACAAGAAGACTCCAAATTAAGAAATTTTCAAGTTGCCAACCTTCCCAATGATTTGACGCAGTCACTTCACTGGCCTTTGCCTCAGTCAACTCCTAGGAACTTGAAATTCATTGCTATGTAGACTTGAAAAAACAAAAGAAAAAGAAAAGAAGAAGACTTGACTTATTCGATGCCTCCCTGGGATGCAACTGAAATGACAAGCTTCTGGAAAAAAGTCAACGCGTGAGATGAAGACACGTGCACGAAATAACCGCATGTAATGGCACAAATGATTTTTAACTCGATGTGTAATATAATCCATGAATTTTAAATTTGTTTAATATGAAATCTGAACTTTAGCTCAATGTGCAATGCCGTCGCTAAATTTTTAATTTATTCAATATGATCATTAGACTTTTGATACATGCTAATCAAATTTTGACTTCTGAAGAATGTCCAATACCTCATTTTGGTAAGATTGGTAGTGTTTTGATATCTTTCCTATTTATGCATAATTGTTGAAATCTTATACTATCAAGATTATTTGTTCAAGATTGTAGCTTTGCGAGAGAAGTTCAAAATCCATAGAGGAAGGATGGGTGTTTAGCGATGGTGAGGGAACAGAGATGCCAAGTAAGTTTGTCTTGTGGCCTTAAAGGCAAGTGCATGGTGGTGAAGTCTGGAACGGCGGAAAATATTTTCCTAATCTTTTTCACATTTTAGCCGAACACCGGAAAATATTGTCATTTTCCCGAAAATAACTTCCCTGAAACATTTTCTGGAAATGTCCCCGCCTTCTTTGCGAATAACAAATGTTGTCAAAAAGATAATAAGATCAAATCTATGTCCCTTATTCAATATTTCTTATATGTGAATAATGCTAAAATCTTTTCTTGCCTTCCTTTAATTCCCTTTGTCCGCACGCTTGGTCCCTGCCCACCAGCTTAGCCAGATCCCTTTATCTTTTCTTTATTTTTATTTGCCCACATGTGCCTATAATTATTTCCTTGCCAAGAAAAAACATGGATTCAGCCCGTATCTTCCTCTTCGTACCAAGCGAATATATTAGCTCTTTTGCCTGGTGAAAATAAGATACCACATTAGCATTCCAAAGATAACTTCTTATTTTCTTTCCGAACTTGCATTAATATTCTCCACTTTGGCAATATCTATCCTTGTGAATTTCGGCCATAATATTCATGGGCTTGGTCGAATTCTTTTTACCGCGGGCACAGTCCGGATAGTTTTAATTTAGGCTCAAGGCCATCCTCTTAGACCCATCCACCGCTGGTCCAGTGTAAATGCAATTTTATGGGCCTATTTCTATCAATATTAAAAAAAATGCTCCTAAAATCTATATGTAGTTTTAACTAATATTTTTGTCTAGGGGTCGAGGTCGATCCCTAATTTTTATGCAATAAATGACTGAATAGTTGGTCAAAATTTAGGTGTCAACAACCAGACATGCCATGAACAAAGGAAGCTAAACAAGTAACTTTTTTCATAGGCCATAATGAAAGTTTTAAGATTCAATTGCACTTTCGTGATAAGTTTTAAGACTTAATTGCACTTTTTGAAAGTTTCAAGACTCAATAGTACTTTCGTGACAAGGTTTAGAACTTCTACCTAACGCACTTATCCCTTTTTTATTTTTAAAGTGCCGTCGACCCTCGTCACGCTTCAGATGTGAAGAAAAATCTAGGAGGACTTGAAGCTGGGCCTTTTTGAACTCCATCGGCCGTACGTCCGAATGGGCCTTTTTAACTTCTAGTTTTTTTAGTGGTCCAAGTAATGCAAGTTGGGTCCAAATAATGTAAGTTGACTTTAAGTGGGTGAGATGGTGCGACTAAACATTTTCTTCGGCCTTTATTCATCCATATGTATTTTGCTCCCCTTCTTTTGTTTTTTCCTAATTTATACTTTTATAAGAACAAACGCTTGAATTGTCGGCAAAAATTCATATGTCGACATGTCTTGATTTGAAGGGAAAAAGTTTGATTCCACTAATTGAGAGGCCTCTCTCTCTCTCTATGTTTGATATACGTTGTTTAAGCATTTGCAGAAAAAACTGTTATTACGTCAAATGTCAAGTTGACGGTTCACGTTCTAGTATTCTTCTCTCGATTATTCTCTGTTGGAAAGAAAAAAAAAAAACTTTCAAGTGTATGATCCTTTAGGAATCCTCTACTTATCATGCAAAAATGTCAAGGTAGAATAAAGAGTTTAGACTTGCCAATTCCATTGCTTTTCACCGGAAAAGTTCAAGGAAACAGTTATTCGAAGAACATAAATAAAAAAAAAGTCTCCAAGGAGGAGAAGCCAGATGTGGGTATCCTATTGCAAAAAGAAGCTGATAATGTCCGTGAATGTGTCTGCCAATCCATTCCCTGTCTCAGTGATGGCTCCCTGCACTGAATCGAAGCCAGGGTCGAGGAGGCCCGGGGCTTCGCTCACACCGGCCTCCGGAGCTTGCTCACCAGCCATTCCTATCAGTCCATTGAATTGTTCAGCTATTGCCTCGCTCTCCTTGTATCCTTCTTTTGTTGCTCCAACTAACAACCCAGTCGCGGCGCCTTGTACCGCTGATTGTCGGAGTTCCTCCTAATCATCGCCAACGAGAATGAAAATATTCATGAGTTATAACCCATCTAACTGATCTCATTTGTCTCTTTCCAGAGCTGGTGAGGGGCTAAGCTTGTTATTATGGCACCGGGTATCCCCTTGTTTAGTCTATCCCTTATTCCACACAATTATGTGCGTACACGAGATGATTTGCCTTTGCATGCTGCTAATTAGTTCGCTGCAAGTAACCTAGTTATAGGTAAACAATATGGTGATCGTTCCTGGGATTAGTTTATCTGTAGATGATAAAGCCACATAAGCTTTTACGCTAGAACTCTGTACAGGCTTATTCTATCAGTTAAGTCGTGAACAAGGTGAATCGCATCGCAAGAAACGTGCGGATCCAACATTATGACCCACTGTGTCTAAAAATATTATTGACTCGATGTATTAGGATGAATGTAGGCAGTACTTACTACCTCATACCAGATGAACCCCTAGGTAGACCCGAAAGCAAAACTAAGATCTTTTTGGTCGCAATTCTTCCTAGAGAGACTAACACTGAGTTTGCTGACCGAAACGAAAGAAGGAAAAGTAAAAGAAAACAGGAGGGTTTACCCAGTTCCGTTGTTGGAATCTCCTCCTTTGCAGCAACTTGTAATTGTCCACGAAAACATTATGGTGCGGGTGGTTGAAGGCCTTGGCACGATAACAAGCAGTGCAGACGTTGAAAGTCGGGTTGTTTGGCGACTTGCAGTGAGAGCAGTCGCCTCTCGTGTCCATCAGATAGTACAGCATGCGTATGTCATCCTGGTCAAGATGGCGCTTCCCGCCCCTGTCCAGCTGGCGGAACAGGGCCTCGGAAGTGCAGCGCCGCGACCTCTCCTCAACCAGGGTCACAAAAGTTCGGTAATCCACCCAGTTGTCGAACTGAGAGTCGACGCGTTCGTTGATCGCTTGGATGGCCTTCTTGAAGATACTGTTATCGCGGTAGTGCACTTTCGCAGCAGCCCTGAGTTCTTCCATTGAGCTCTTCTGTGAACAGATCGGTTAGATGGTTGTCTGTTGTTGATTTTGTTGTTGTTGTTGTTGTTAAAAATAATGATGACTACAAAGGCAAGAGCTTCCTGAAATAGATTGAAGTCTTGCTTGACCAAGTCGTAGTCAAAGTAAACGGTGTTTACCATTGCCCTGCAACTTACCAAGAAGTGACAAACGCAGACGTTATGACGTTCGAGCTCTTACATCAGACACGACACGGCAACTTGTTAAGGTCGTTATGGTTTTAATCTGCAAATGGTGTGACTATTTCAACGTCGTAACTTCCAATAGAAATTATGCTTGCCATTTGATCATGTATTGCAGACAATATTGAAAATAATAGGATTAAAATATCTCCCTCTAGATACTTACTTAAGGGTCAAGTTGAGATATTTAAGGAGCTTAATCTTAGTTCCAACGGGCTATAGGTGAAAGTGATATTGATAATCCGAAGATTTGACGTCATGCCGTATTTATTACAATCACTAGATATGACGCTTCTGTATAACTATATACTAGAATCAACGAGTGCTTCGCGATATATATTTTCATAAGTGAATTTGAGTAGTTTTCCTTTTTATTTTTCAAATAGTGTGTATTTTGCAATTTTAGCATTTGAAAAAAAACTTTTATCAGAAGAACATTTTGTTTAAATATACAGATACGTTACATTCCTTGGTGTGTAATCGGTCTATGCTCTTCACATGTGATTGACTTGCTCGGTCTGAGATCATGTTTGCTCGGTCTATGCTTTCTATCTCTCTCTGCCGAGCTGGCGAGTTTGAAAGTCGCTCTCCGGGGTTCATGGAAAAGGGTGCTGAGTCGATTCTAGTCTCCTAGACGACCAGACGACTTGCGATTGCCGAAGCATAAGTAGAGAGACTTGCCAACCTTCCAAAGATTTGCAAGTCACTGGTCTTCTCCTCATTCGACTCCTAGGAAGTTGCCATACCATGTTATGCAGACTTTGACGCATTCAATGTCTTTCTGGGATGTAACTGAAATGCGTGGGCTCGAGAAAATTCAACACGCTCGAGATGAAGACTCATGCATGATATAACCACAAGTGGAAAATATAAGAGAAATAAGATGCAACTTAAGAGTATAAAGCAGCAGAGGGCTAGTTTTGCAAAACATACAAGAACACACATTACCAGTAGCATTGCAATGGAAGACATCCGTTTGGCTGCTTCATTATTCTTTGAGCAGAACCCGCAATCGAAGAACATTGCACTGACCGAATTCTCGACCTTGACCCAGACCAAACCAGGCTGTGTCACCAAGAAGGCCTTTGACGAGCACCTCCGGCAGCGTCTGCCCGGGTGCTCGAGTAGCAACTTGGCGGCCGAGCTCGACGACGACTGCGACGGTTATCTCACGTTTCAGGACTTACTCATATACCGCTACTTGTTCCAGACAAGGCCGGTCTGCCGCCATTGCAAGGCAATTGTTAAGCTCGTCTTCTACACCTGTCTTCAGTGCTTAATTCGCAGATGAGTCGAAACCGCCGACCTATGACCTCTGTCCGAGATGCTACCTCGGGAACAAGTTCTCTCATGCGCACAATCTGTTCGTCAGTAACAATGCCATGGTCAACAATGTCCGGAAGCCGCCGAAGGATGTTTCGGTATGTGTCGTAAACGTTGCCTTTAACTCCCATCTTCTCTTCTCTCAGTTTGTCAGCTTCTTAAGATCTTCGTGGCCCGTTACATATATATATCGGCAAAAGTACACCACAAGTGCCATAACTTATGTACGGAGATCACTTTGGTGCCATAACTTTTTTTTGGATCACTTTGGTGCCAACTTTTTTGAAAAACGATCACTTTTGTGCCAATGCTGACATGGCCGCCGGAAATCTGACGTGGCTCTTTTTTTATTAATTTCCGATGCTGACATGGCTCGCCGGAAATCTGACGTGGCTCGCCGGAAATTTGACGTGGCTCTTTTTTTGGCCGGAATTTTGGCCGGAGTCACTAAAGTGATCTTTTTTCTCCGATTTTGACACCAAAGTGATCCGAAAAAAAGTTATGGTACTAAAGTGATCTCCGTACACAAGTTATGGCACCAATAGTGTCCTTTTACCTATATATATCCATCTCAAAGCGCTAAGTATATTTTACAAGGTGGGCCTAACTTTTATTTTAGTGAAAGGATGCAAGCAGAAGGTAATATTGAGATTGTTTGAAGTACCGATACCATTCGCTGCATTGTCACTAGAGAAGTTGTTCTAGTAAGGAACCAAATCCATTCATCGAATTAAACCGCGAACATGAAGTCATCCCTATTGGGGTCTATGTAGTGATCCCAATTATCTCGACTGCCTTTATACGTAGCTATGACTTGAGCGAATCTACGTCCTCTCGGTTAGGACATAGAGCTCCACGAATTTGATGCGAAAACCGGCAGAAAAGGCTAATAAATTTTCGATGTTGTCGCTTTTTTGACAGATTGGGGCAAAGGTGGCGACGACAGTGGGAGTTGGATAGGCCTCTAATGCTCTGGGCAAACAAGTCATTGACGCATTCTTGCCTGGCTCAGGCATTTGAAGAAGTGCTCGACCTAGAGGTGGCCACGGGCCGGTTTTGGCCCGGAACCGGCCCGGTCAAACCCGGGCCCGGCCCGTTGACCGGGCCCGCGGTTGGAACCGGAGCCGGCCCGTGGCATACGGTCCCGGTTCCGGTTCCAGGAAAATTTGAACCGGCCGGAACCGCCGGTTCCGGCCGGTCTCAAAAAAAAAAAAAAAAGAAGCTGCAGGTGCAGGCTACAGCACAGCCTGCAGTGCAGGCCATGCTGCAGCGCTGCAGCAGCCTGCAGGCCCGCAGGAGAACGGGCCAACGGCCCAACCAAAAAAAAAAAAAATAGATTTATTTGCAGCAGGGCCTGCAGACGTGCAGGCCCTGCTGCGCCGCAGCACCTTGCGGCTGCGGCGTGCGGCCCGTTGGGGCAACGGTCGGCTACACCCCAACGGGCATTTTTTATAATTAAAAAAAAAAACACACATAATCGTTGCAAAATTTGCAACGGTTATGTTTTATTTTTTTTAATTCTAAATTTTCTTCTATTTTCCTATAAATTCTCTCAAATTCTCACAATACACACACAACAATTCTCTCCAATTCTCTTCTCTCAAGTCTCAAATTTTCTCAATACTCGAAATTCTCTCAAATTCTCTGAAATTCTCTCAATTTTCTCAATCCACGCAATTCTTTCTTAATTCTCCCAATTAATCCGCTCAATTCTCTCAATCCATTCGAAAAATGGCAAGTGGAAGTCGAGTGCCAACTAGCAAAGGTAAGAATATCGCGACGGAATCCCATCATTCTTTTGATCCTCGTGAATATGCAGATTTTCAAGATGATGAAATCAACATTTTTCACGATGTGGAGCGCGTCCCGACGCAAGAAAGTTTTCATCCTCCTGCTGAAATATCTACAACAAAGGAAGCGGAACGGGAATTTACATCCGACATTTGGAATCACTTCACGAAAATGGAAAGGTTTGATATCGGTCAAAAAAGGTATGATATAATTTGTAAATATTGTGGAAAAATATATAAATATACAGGTGGACAAGGATATGGAACATTTAAACGACATCTTATGAGCAAACATCCAACTGAAACGGGAATCGATATCGGGCAACAACAAATTTCCGAGTACGTCAATCCTAACACTTCCCCTTTATTTCGTTTTAATGAAAAAACTTATAAGGAAGAATTAGGCAAATTTATTTCCGTTGAGCATTTAGCATTTAATTTTGGAGAAAGATTTGGTTTTAATGAATTTGTACAAAAAGCATGTGCTCCACAAGCAAAACGTGTTTCTAGAAATACAACTAAACGAGTAATTAAAGATCTTTACAAAAATGGAAAAAATGATTTACAAAACTTTTTTATGCAATTTAATGGATGCGTGCATATAGGTAGTGATATTTGGAGTGATCATTGGCAAAATCATTCTTACATGGGCATAACATGTCATTGGATAGATGACGAGTGGATTATTCAAAAAAGAGTTATTGCATTTAGAGTTTTCGATGATCATCATATGGCAAATAATATTTATAGACTAATTAGGCAAGTTTTAGAAGAATATTATTTGCTTAACAAAATTTTTTCAATTGGTTTTGATAATGCCGCAGCAAATACCGCTTCAATTGCCGAGTTAGAAAATATTTGTAAACCCGCTTTTGGCGGAAAATTTTTTCACAATAGATGTGCTTGTCATGTTTTAAATTTATGTGTACAAGATGGTTTGAAAACTCTTGATATTTTTCTTCAACCAATAAAAACGGCGATTCAAGTTTTATGGAAACACCCCAAAAAAAATGAAAGAATGGGGTAGATTTTGTAGAGATAATGGCAAAAAGCCAAAAAGATTTCCAAGAGATGTTCCAACTCGTTGGAATTCTACTACTTCCACTTGCTTAGTAAATCTTTAGCATATAAAGATTTATTATGTGCATTCATTTCTAATAATATACCTGAGATTAATTTATACCCACAAGAGTGGCATATTTGCCAAAAAATTTTAGATCTTTTAAAGGTTTTTAATGATGCAACTTATACTTTGTCTGGTGTTTATTATCCTACTACACATTTATTTTTAGTATAGTGTACTAATATTGTCGGAACTTTTGATGAATATGAAAATGATGTTGAATTACAACATACTGTAGTTGCAATGAAAATGAAATGGCTTCATTATTATAGTGAAATTCCCATGATTTATTTAGTTGCTTGTGTTTTTGATCCGCGTTGCAAATTGGATGGCTTAAATGATTTTTTGCGTGCGTATTATCAATGTTTACATTATGATGTGACAAATGTTATAACCATAGTACGTGAGGTTAAAAACGTAGTAATAGAATTATATAATGAATTTTATACTAAATATAATTTAGGTGATATTAGATCTTCTCAATCTACGGAGATACAAAATGACAATACATGTAAAATTAGTAGAGGGTACCAATTTTTATTACATAGACAAAAAAAACAAAAGGGAGTAATAGGAAATATTTATGAATTAGAGAGTTATCTAACCATTTTATTTGAGTTTACTGAAGCCGAAGGTGGTACAGATTTTTTTATTTTGGATTGGTGGA